AGGGCAAGAGGGCAGCTCCCATCTCCCCCTCCCAGTCAGATCATGCCAAGCTACTCAGGTTATTTTCACTGAGGCAAACCTGACCCAGAGATCCTGCTGGTTCCTCCTTCCCCACTCTAGGAAAAGAAAAACCAAAATGGTTCCTGTGGGGGGGATGCATGTGGGGGGAGCTTCCAGGAAAGGCATCAATGGCAGGCACCCCAGTTCTCCTCCAAGAAGGTCCCTGCAGGCTGGGGTAGAAAAGGCAAAACCTTGGGGTCTTCCTTCCCACAGGTCCCTGGGGAATCCTGAAGAAAGGGAGGCGGCCTTTTGCATAGCTAAAAAAAGATCTCCTCCTTGGAAGTAGGAAATGCACATAATCCCTTTATTGTCCAGGACCTGAAGTTTTGTCCTACTTCAAAATGGACCCCCTGAGCAGATGCAGAATTCAGGCTGCCCCCACCTAAGATGGCTCCCTTGAGCTCCCAGCAGACTCATCCGCTGCCAGGTGCCCCCCACATGTCCCCAAACCAGAACTGAGCTGCCTCTCCCACAAACATAAGCGACATGAAAATAAATTGCATGATGACCATCTCTTTCAGCTGTTCTGTTCTTAATACCAATTATTCTTCAGTGCTCAGAATTCTTTCTTCGAACTCAGATTGTGTGCGGGCTCTGAGATTCCTTCAATTGGCCGCAGCCCTCGGCCCACTGGCCTCAGTGCAGGTCCCACTGAGCTCAGTGAGGAGGTGGGTGGTGGAGCGGCTGTCCCAGGAGCGCAAAACGGTCCTGCAACACAACCCCCCCCCCCCCGCCAGAGGAACCACCAACTGCCTCTGACCAAAGCCTCCCACCTGCCCCTCGTGGCTTGACGTGGCCACGAGGTCCACTGCTGCACTACGAAGGACACGCCATTGTGACACCGTGCTCTGTGCTGCGGTCGGGTGGGGGGCACGGCTGGGCGACCCTGAGAGCCAACCCAGCAGGGCCCCCGGGCAAGGCCCCAGATTGGCTCCCCTTCCCCACCATCCCCACCTGCTTCTCCCCCTGCCTGTCGCTCTGGCCTGGACCAAGACGGTGCTGGACTCGGCCCGCCATGCCCACCTGGACCCGCCATGTGCACTGTCGCCCACCTCGCCCCACGGCCATTCGCTGGAAAGGGGACAGAGTCGCAGTCAAGAACGGCTGACGTCGGGGACCAGGGCTGCGTGTCGGAGGCGGACGAGGGCATGCTCATGACCAGGCCAAAGCTCCAGAATGGGGAAGGCAAACGTGGCAGGGAGCTGGTCAGAGTGGGGGTGGGCCAGGAGATGGGTGACCCAGGCAGGTTGCAGGGTGGCGAAGTGAGCAGAGCAGTACTGGAGCAGCACAAGGCGGAACCAAACCAAGGCAGGACCTTGCGAGATGCAGGAGCTGAGAAATGCCCAGCCAGCAGGAAGAGCCACACTGCCGAGGCAGCCCCTGCAGGG